ATAATATGCCCCGTTTGGTTTAGGATTGAAGGAGATATGGCCGTCCTAAGTCAGCCATACTTGATAGCAGCGGCGGACCTACACTAGGGCAAGTGCGGTCATAAACATTATTTAATTTTTTTTTGATAGTCATGTGTACAACATACTTTTTAATAGGCATGTGTAATATCTCTTAGAAATGAAATATCTATCCCATGACCATCATCAGCTTTTTCCAATTTCATAGCATTTGTGATCTAAATTTCATTGGTATTGCTGCACCGCTTAGAAATGTAAGCGATCATGTAGCATAAAGCATGATTAATTATATATGGCATGTACCATTTTCAATCATGGCATGCATAAAATTCATATAAATCATTAAAAAAAATTCTGCGCAACTTTATTTTAATTTTTTTTCCAAGGACGTTGTCTCTAAACTCCGTTACTAAATGTGCAGACATAAATAAAATTTTCTGGGTCCGCCACTGCTTGATAGGATTAAAAATTAACAGCATGGGTTATATAGGATTAAAAATGGCCAGGAAACCATTTTCCAGTGAGAATGCGTGTTCTAGTAGTTGATGACGACGAAGTTTGTCTCAAAGTGTTGGAAAAGATGCTTCGCAAATGCCAGTATCATGGTTTGTCACCTTTTATTTTCTCAATCAGAGTATGCATTGATTTTGCTAATTGTCTTGGAGTCATGAATTAAAGCATGTTTTCACGTGTGATGGACTAAATATATATTTTGTAGACGTTTTTGAGTTTTAGATGCTTTGTTCATGGATACTTTGTTTGGTCAATTATATATATATATATATATATATATATATATATATATATATATATATATATATTGGTTTATAATTAACAGCATGAGTTTTAGAAATATGCCCCGTTTCGCTACCCAAATAATATGGGTTCGTCTTACTTCCTGTACGTGGTAGGGCGGCCTCGCCTTCTACTACCAGTGGCAGTAGGCAAAGAATGGTCCATCTTTAAACCTTTATGATCATAATGTAAAAATATGTATAAAGAAATATGCAATACCACATATGCAGTCATTAATGTGCAATATCATATATAATTAAAGTGCAATTAAATGAACAAAATAGTAATCTCAATATAATTTACATCTCAAAGCAAATTGATCAATGTCTTTAGTACAACAAGTCGCAATAAACAAATAATAGGGAGTGATCAGCTGGATGAATCATATACTTCTACTTCTTCTTGCACACCTTCTTCTACGGTCACATATTCATCCATTTCAGGTTCACTATCCTAATAAATCTCTTGTTTCTCATCATCTAATTCCTCATTCTCCATATGGATAGGAATCATGTCTAACTCTGCAGCTGAATCAAAGAGATTACTTGGCACATCATCCTCCGCAACATTTACGGGCAGTACATCTTCCATGTCAGCTTGGAATGGTTCAGATATTTCATTTAATTGTGACTCTTTGGACTCTAGGATAATATTTCGGGCTTTGATTTTTATAAATGTTATCCACCCTGTTAGGATATAGGGTATAATGTGTAATAAACTTGTTCGACCTTATAATCAAGTATAAATGGGTCATATCCCACTGTATATCTCTTTGATTGATGAACCTCAACATTTCCATATTTATCCACTCTTTTCCCACGTGGGTGTTATCTAACCAATAACATTTAAACAGAGTCACCTTCTTTTCCTGTAACACCCCGTTCTAGAACCGGTTTGTTAACATTGCATTATGATATTAAGCGCAGTTACAATCACATTGGTTCAATTAAAAATCCGGATAAATTTTTCTTTTTGAACAAAGCCGAATTTAAAATAACCAATTGCGTGACCATAACCATATGACATTGTGGAATAAATGAAATTAAGCTTAACATCATATTCTTATTTTATTTGACCACGTGTTGTTAAATATCTTTAACTCTTTTCTTGTTATCTGAATTCTAACTTCCTTTATAATTCTTATCTCCTACCATATTATAGATCTCTTTGTTAGCTTCAAGTGGGTTCAAACCGTGCTCAAATCAGAGCTCCGTAGCTCGAGTTGTGTCAGTTTTACTAAACTACGTTTTTATAAAATTTTTGTGTAGCGCGTTTTAGCGCTCAACTGGGCGTTAAAACGCCCAGAGGCAGAGAATTTGGCCTTCTCCAGGTATTCAGCGTGCTTTAGCACTCAACTTGCGCGATTTAACGCTCAACTTATGCGCTAAAACGGCCAAGGGCAGAGATTTTCCCTCCATTTCATGAACACAGCGCGCTTTAGCGCCCTTATCAGCGCTGAAACGCTCTCCAACTGGGCAACACATGCCCTCCCTGTTTTCATATAACTTTATGAGAAAATTTCTCCCTCTTTCACCATCCTCTTAACACCTAATAGGCATTATACAACCACTTCAATACATAATTCTTAGCTATTTCAAGACACACAATTATCAAATAGGCATCCATGCCCTTCCATCATATCTACAATAAGTACCATATTACACAATATCCAAGTGTCATTAATACATAACCATGGGACTTAGCTACAAAACACTATGATCAAATCCTTGGCTCCCATCAACAAAAGAGACATCAAAGGAAGTGAGCATAGGCTAAGTCCACCAAAATAAAACATGATGTTCACATATCATTTGGCTTTCAAATGGGAATCCTATACATGGAACTACGAAATGATATGCATAACCAAAATAATGCAACATCCTCATGTATCAATCTAGTCCAAGTATGGCCACTTGCCACCAAAGGCTCCTGTAGCATCTATACCTGAAAGGGGGTCCTCACAACACGGGATGAGATATACGAATACATCTCAGTAAATCAGGGGTCCTTGGAGCATTTCTCCACCTATAGTTCACTCACAATATAATAGCAATAATCATAAATAATACAGTAAATACATATCCATGCAGTGTGTCAAACATCTCCAGGAGACATCCCTCGAGCTCTCATGTTGTCCTAAGGATACTCAGATGCAAATAGTCCTACTGGCCAGCTAAACTACCAAGTATGAATTACGCATCGTCATGCAATATACAGAACATACGGAAACACATCCTATGCCACACCCAGTGCATACACATACATATAACAAAGCATTAAACTACTCTATTGCATTTACATACACTATCAACAACCACTACCCGTTCCGGGCTTGGTGAAATAATAAAGGGATCAACACCCAAGGTTCGATGACTTACCTCAATGAGCTTCAAAGCTTAACCTTTGTTCACTACCAATGAGCAATCAACCAAGCTTTACAACAATACCAACAATCAATACCTACATAAAGGTACTAGACAATCTATCAAGGAAATCCAATGAATACCAATATTGCCATCAACCAACAAACCTATTCACACCACAATGGCATGAACTTACCAATTCAAGTGAGCTAATCAAGCTCCATGGCTTCCTCCAATGGTTGGTCCTTCAATGTTGGTCCACAAGGCTTAATCATATCACCATAAGGGACACAATCAACCATCCAACCAAATCATAGCTTAACAATGCAAGAAATTCCACATGTCGAAGCATGAATTTTTCCAATATATTGAACAACAACCAAAAACGACAATCTAAGTCCATTTCTCCCATTTATTTATCATTCCTAACAATTTTACAAAGGAATTTAACTTCAATCTCTCTCTAACATACCTCATTATTCATGCATTTTCTTAAAACAAAACCCTAATGCACAAATCTTCCAAAATGACAACAAGAGTTGGAGTTTTTACCACAAATACAACCCCAAGGGTGTAAGGAAGAGGCATCAAGCTCAAGGAACCAAGACTTCACCTCTAGCTCCACTATCTCCAAATTTTGCCCCTTTCACCAAGAATGTTTCACTCCACCATGGCTCCCACTTAAAAATAAGCTAGGATCAAGGATGAGGGGAAATTTGAAGTGGTTTAGGCTTTGGAATGGAAGGATTTGAGTAAGAAATGGATGAGTTATGGTTTAGAGCTCACAACCATGGCTTCTCAATTCTCCTTCACGGTTTGTGTCGTTGGAAGAAGAAGAAGAAATGAGATTGGATTTGTGTTTTGTCATTTTTCAAAAATTTAGAAGTTGGAAACGAAATCAGCGAGAAAGTTAAGCAGAAAACAAGAAAGTTTGCACAAGAGCCCCTTTAGAAATTTTGAAGAAGAAGTATGTGAGAACTAAAGAGAACGGTTCATGCAATATCAAGAGGTAAGTTTTTTTTCATTTAATTGTGATACTCTTGTATAGTACTTTAGTTGTGAGCCTCTGACACTCTTATATTTCTTTTTTTTATTTAATTGTGATACTCTTGTAAAGTCTTTCCATAAATTCTATAATAATTGCCTGTTATCACAAAAATAAAAATAAAAGTTCCAAGTTTTTTTAAAAGTTATTTGTAAACAATTCAAAACTTTACTTATTTGATTAAGAATGACAAAAAATAGACAAGGACATGATTGCTTCACTATTGCACTCAATAACCATAGACAAATGTTGTAAAACTTATGAAAACTATATTTATATGGTTTCATCTATTTTTGTTTTCAGGTTAGCAAATGATGGATATAGACACAATTGATTTTTCTCCCACGGACATGGAGACAAATTTCATTTCGGACAACAACTTGGTAATAGATTCTAACTCTCTTGATATGCCACAATCTTTTAGTGCTGAAGAAGTCATTGTTGAGCCTTATGTTGGAATGGAATTTGATTCATTGAAAAAAGTTGAACATTTTTATACGTTATTTGCCAAAGCGAAAGGGTTTAGAATTCGTACCCGCTCTAGTAAAAAAAATTATTACATTTTTGTATGTGTTAGAGAAGGTGAAAATAAGGTGAAAAATGATAATATAGTAGAAGTTAAGAAAAAAACTTCAACCATACGCTCAGGATGTCGAGCATCACTTTGTGTATCAAAGGATAAGAATAGAGAGGTATGAGTTATTAAATCTTTTGACAACAACCATAATCATGTCATGGCCAGTCCTAAGAGTGTGTCTTATTTGATGTGTTATAAAAAAATGAACGGGGCTGCAAAAAATCTTGTTGAAAAGTTCAATGCAGAAGGCTTACTGACTGGAAAGGTTGCTGCAATGTTCAATGGCAGTGATTTAGCTTTTTCAAATAGGGATTGTTGGAACCATTTGAGAAATCTTCGGAGAAAGAACTTAGATGTTGGAGATGCACAAGCTGTTTTCAATTACTGTAAACAAAAGCAAGCTCAAAACTCTAATTTTTTCTATGCAATATAATGTGATGATGATGACAGAATGATAAACTTTTTCTGGGTGGATGCTAGATAAGGTTTGCTTATCAACAATTTGGTGATGTTATTACTTTTGATACAACATATAGAACCAACAAATATAGCCTGCCATTTGCCCCTTTCACGGGACTGAACCATCATCTTCAATCAATTTTATTCGGTTGTGCATTGTTACAAGATGAATCTGAAAAATATTTTGTATGGTTATTTGAAACTTGGCTTGAGGCAATGAATGGAAAGAAGCATGTTTCTATGATAACTGATCGAGATTTAGCTATTGGAGCTGTTGTTGCCAAGGTATTTCCAGAAACACGTCATCATCTATGCTTGTGGCACATTAGAAAGAAGTTTCCTGAAAAGCTTGCACACATATATCACAAAAATTCTACATTCAAGCGTGAACTGAAGAGGTGCATTCGAGAATCATCAAGTATCAAGGATTTTGAAGATGATTGGCAGCGCATAATGGTTGAGTATAGCTTGCTGGAAAATGAATGGCTTCAAAGATTATTTGATATTAGAGAGTCATGGACACCGGTTCATAATAGAAGCACCTTTTTTGCCGGTGTGAATACTACACAAAGAAGTGAAAGAATTAATTCTTTTTTTGACTCCTTTGTTAATTCAACCACAACACTACGAGACTTTGTGGTAAAATTTGAGAAGGCCATTAACAATCGCTATGAGGCTGGAAAAAAAAAGAATTTTGAGTCCCGACATAAGTCACACACTTTGACTATTGGCTCAAAAATTGAAGAACATGCTGCATGAATTTATACAAGAAATGTGTTTGTTAAGTTTCATAATGAGCTTGTTAGCCATTTTACAAAGGAGAAGATTGAGAAAAATGGTTCACATTGTAAGTATCAGGTATCTAATTGTTTTGATACTCGAGATTGTTTTATTGTTGATATAAATTTAGAGTCAAAGAATGCTACATGTGGCTGTCATCTTTTCGAATTTATGGGAATACTATGCAGGCACATTTTGGTGATTTTTCAAGCAAAAAATATTATTCGAATTCCTTGTCAGTACATATTGGAGCGTTGGACAAAAGAGGCCAACAAATGTATAGAGGTGGGTGACATTGAAATTTGGAATAATGAATCAAATGTTTTGAGAAGTATGAATGTGCAACGTAAATTTGACCACTTTTCTAATTTGGCTAAAAGATCCGAAGATGCATACAAGTTTATTATATCAGAACTTGATCGCATTTATAATATGGCCAGTACAATGGGAATGGAAATCGTAGATGTCAATGAAGATCCTATAGAGTCAAATCAACAGAATTTGACATGTGACACAACAAATGATGCTTCAGATTTTAATATCAAAGACCCATATGTTTCACATACAAAAGGAAGAAGAAGAAAGGATTTTGACAAAGTCCCTCTAACATGGAGGTTTAAGAGTGGTCTTGAATTATCGATAAACAAGGCATTGGTTAAAAGGAGAGCATGTAAGTCTTGTGGAGAATATGGTCACTACCAATCAACTTGCAAACAAAAGACAAGTCAGTGTAAGTTATATTGGCTTTAATTTCTTTTTATATACTTTAAAGACCTATGTTACCTGTAAAGTTTAGTTGGTTGTTTAATTGGTTTTTATATCTATATATTTATGTTGTTATTAATTTCCTTTATTAATATCTTTTTTCATTCCCATAGACAAATGTACGCTTAGTTCTATATCCTCCAATCAAATCTGATATATTATGTTTTTATGTTTTGCACAGTTGGAGGAAAACAACTGCAGTTGTTTTGTATGAACTCCCAAAAAGAAGATAAAAATGTTTCTGCAATGGCTCTTCATCACAATTATAGCCTTTAATTTTTTTTTTATTGATTGCAAGAAGGCATCCATGTAAACATAATGAGACATCCATGTAAAATATATTTTAATTTAAAATATTTGTTTTAAGATATTAAAATAAAAAGAGCGTATAAATTCTATTAACCATCTACTACTAATTTGTCAAAAGCTTGCCTTGATACTCCATGTTCTAGAAAGAGACTTCTAATTGATCTAAAACTACAATTCCAATTGGCCTAAGTCTACAAAATTCATTACATAGAAATGGGATGCAATTACTCACTGGTCCTGCTGCCTCCTTATGAGAGGATTATAACTGCATCTATAACCATAAAAAAAAAAAAAGATGGTCGTGATCATCCAGAAAAACCTAATACTTTTTTAAAAAAAAAAAACTATTCATAAATAATATCCAAGACAAAGTTTTTCCTCTTCCTAATTTAATCTTTATTCTCTTCATCTCTAGAACCACCAACAACATTCTTAGCTACAGCCCTCTAGTTGTGAAGGCATTGTCAACAAGCCATGTTTGCGCCAAGTCCACGATACAAAATTTAAGAATGACCAATGTGCAAGAAAAGCTACTAGCCTAAGAAATCAGTTAAAAAAAATCATCAAAGGTTCAATTTGCAAGGATATAGAGACTATATTATAATTATTGACTTGAAGACAAGAAGTGATAATTGTAAATTTAAACAAACAAAAACAAAAAATAAAATAAGTTTATTAGGGCATTGTGATTTATGGGCATAACCAACATGATAGTCCAGTTGAGATAATTTCTCAATTTCCACAACATATGCATTAGGATAAAAAAATGGAAACAAAGGGGGACAAAACTGGATGTAAATCAGCCTCCTCTTTCAATGTAAATTTTCAAAAAAATTGTTTTAAAAAAGGGTTTAACTACTCTTCTGTTGCTTTAGATAATTGTCTTTTGTCATACATACATGGATAAATGTGCAATCTTTTTTTTGTTTTATTTTTAAAAAAAAGGGACCCATAGCTGACTTTGTTAGTGTAGGAAATTCAACTTCTCACAAGCAAAATGAGAAAAGTAAATCCCTTTAAAAAAATACACGTTATTAGTTCCCATTGTCCATTGCCTTTATACCCAAAACCCAAACAAAAAATCCAGGAATATAAAGAGAAGAATAATCGAAGGAAGATCATTGTTAGGGTTCGCATACCTATAACATGGGAGATCGACAAATCCTTGAGGGGAGGGGAGTATTCAGCGGAGGAGATAGAGAGAGTTGTCTAAGTTGTGGGCGAGGTGGAAGAGGCTGATGAAGACGCCGATAGAGAAGAGGGGGAAGAGTTACGGTGGTGTTTGTGTTGGGAGAATGTGTTAAAATAAAAAATAAAAAAGGATGTCACGTGCTCACTAAAGTTTAATAGATTACAGCCATTGGATTTAAGGTAGCTGAGTGGTAAAGATTGAGTGTAAGTTTAAAAATCTTACACTGGTGTAAGATGATCCTTCCCTATATATATATATATATATATATATATATATATATATATATATATATATATATATATATAGGGCTTATCATTTCTCAACCTGCTTGAGATAACTTTATCCCGGGCTACTAAATCATATTCGTACAAAGATGGATCAACAGTGATAAAGGAAGAGAGAGAAAAAGGAAATCATAACCATTCAAAGGTGAATCAATTAATATATAAGGAAATAAATAAACAAAACGACGTAGTTTTTGGTGACCGGAGATAAATATATCTCAAGCAGCTTGACAAATAATTTTCTCATATATATATTGTAAAATGTATAAAAATGTATTTTATCAACCAAATATTAAAGATATCTTTTTGACTATTGTTTAAGTAATGATAACAAGCTTATGTTTCATTTTGGTCTTAAATCTTTGTGAAATTTATTAATTGATGGAATTTATTAACATTATATTTTATATATACATAAGTGTGTATTTGACGTATCAAAGTAGATACTTTTATTGTAGCGTCTAAGAATTGAGTATTACCAATTTTATTTTATTTTTATAAAGCCCCTTTTTGTTTCCAAACAAATTCATATATGGGTTTAGTATGTGTCCTTTTAAAAGAGGTAAGTTGTGTTTTTTTAATTTTTTACTCTATGTATTCTCGATAGTACATAGTTATAACATGAAAAGTTACTCTCTCTTTTTCATTTTTCACGTCAGCTGATGTGACTGAGGAGAGAAAAAAGAGCATCTTTTCATGTCATAACTATGTACTACCGATAGTACATAGAGTAAAAAAATTAAAAGAACACAATTTACATCATTTTAAAACAAATAGTTTTCCCTTCATATATACTTTAAGGAAAAAGTGTATGTCATTTTAAAAGATGTAAAGTCGTATCATTTTAAGTGAGAGAAAGAAAGAGATAAAGGGGAGAAGAGAGTAGGGGGCAAAAGTGTGGGTCTCATCTTTTTGTGAGAGTGAAATGATATAAATTATATCATTTAAAAAGACAAACACATTTCCTATACTTTAAACCAAAGAAATAATTGTCTAGATAAATATTCATCTTATGAAATGATTGAACATAACAAAGAAAGTAGAATAGAGGTGGCTGTTTACCAAAAAAAAAATAAAAAAAAATAGAGGTGGCTGATTGGTTGAGAAAAGGTTCACTGAACAAGGGAAAAGAGAAAATAACTAGTTATGTTTATTTTTTTATTTTTATTTTTAGTACAAACTAGTTATGTTTATTTCAACTAACCAGAGGATGTAAAAGCTCCACAATAAGGGTGTGTAAATGTGTATGATAATTATTCAATTTTCTGACAGTTTTTGGAGAAGATATTTCGTACTTATTTATGTGGTTAGAAAGATTTTTCGTGTAAAAAGAAAAATGTGCTTGATATAACACAGTTTATTTTTATTCATCACGAGAGAGAATGCACAATTAATAAATGGGGAAGAATATTGTAACAACCAAACTAGTGTCAATCAATTTCACTATTAGATTGATTATGTTAATCCAATGATTATATTTATTTTTATCTTTGTATGATTATGATTCCCTATATTTAATGCTTTTGTGATTCCATATATTTAATGTGAAAGCATTAAATATAGGAAATCATAACTATACAAAAGTAAAAATAAATATAAATTGAATATAAATATAATCATTGTCTAAGTTGTGGGCGAGGTGGAAGAGGCTGATGAAGACGCCGATAGAGAAGAGGGGGAAGAGTTACGGTGGTGTTTGTGTTGGGAGAATGTGTTAAAATAAAAAATAAAAAAGAATGTCACGTGCTCACTAAAGTTTAATAGATTACAGCCATTGGATTTAAGATTATCCTTCCCTATATATATATACATATATATATATATATATATATATATATCTATATATAAGGCTTATCATTTCTCAAACTGCTTGACATAACTTTATCCCGGGCTACTAAATCATATTCATACAAAGATGGATCAACGGTGATAAAAGAAGAGAGAGAAAAAAGAAATCATAATCATTCAAAGGTGAATCAATTAATATATAAGGAAATAAATAAACAAAACGACGTAGTTTTTGGTGACCGGAGATAAATATATCTCAAGTGACAAATAATTTTCTCATATATATATTGTAAAATGTATAAAAATGTATTTTATCAACCAAATATTAAAGATATCTTTTTGACTATTGTTTAAGTAATGATAACAAGCTTATGTTTCATTTTGGTCTTAAATCTTTGTTAAATTTATTAATTGATGGAATTTATTAACATTGTATTTTTTTTTTTTTGATAACAATTAACATTATATTTTATATATACATAAGTGTGTATTTGACGTATCAAAGTAGATACTTTTATTGTAGCTAGCGTCTATTCACAAAGAGTGAATTGAGTATTACCAATTTTATTTTATTTTTATAAAGCCCCTTTTTGTTTCCAAACAAATTCATATATGGGTTTAGTATGTGTCCTTTTAAAAGAGGTAAGTTGTGTTTTTTTAATTTTTTACTCTATGTATTCTCGATAGTACATAATTATAACATGAAAAGTTACTCTCTCTTTTTCACTTTTCAAGTCAGCTGATGTGACTGTGTAGAGAAAAAAAACATCTTTTCATGCCATAACTATGTACTACCGATAGTACATAGAGTAAAAAAATTAAAAGAACACAATTTACATCATTTTAAAACAAATAGTTTTCCCTTCATATATACTTTAAGGAAAAAGTGTATGTCATTTTAAAAGATGTAAAGTCGTATCATTTTAAGTGAGAGAAAGAAAGAGATAAAGGGGAGAAGAGAGTAAGGGGAAAAAAGTGTGGATCTCATCTTTTTGTGAGAGTGAAATAATATAATTAAATTATATCATTTAAAAAGACAAACACGTTTCCTATACTTTAAACCAAAAAAATAATTGTCTAGATAAATATTCATCTTATGAAATGATTGAACATAACAAAGAAAGTAGAATAGAGGTGGTTGTTTACCAAAAATAAATTAAAAAAAAAATAGAGGTGGCTGATTGGTTGAGAAAAGGTTCACTGAACAAGGGAAAAGATAAAATAACTAGTTATGTTTATTTTTTTTTTATTTTTTTTAGTACAAACTAGTTATGTTTATTTCAACTAACCAGAGGATGTAAAAGCTCCACAATAAGGGTGTGTAACTGTGTATGATAATTATTCAATTTTCTGAGAGTTTTTGGAGAAGATATTTCGTACTTATTTATGTGGTTAGAAAGATTTTTCGTGTA